GGCATTGTCCCTGCTGACCTTAAACATGCTACTGTTGTACCTATCCTGAAAAAAACATCCCTCGACCCGTCCACCCCTTCCATCTATCAGCCCATATCCCTGCTCCCTTTCTTCTCAAAGCTTCTGGAAAGACTTGTCTTTTTCCTCAATACCAACTCCCTCCTTGACCCACTTCAATCTGGCTTCCGCCCCCTCCACTCTACTGAGACTGCTCTTATTAAAGTTACTAATGACCTAATTGCAGCTAAATCCAAAAGCCACTACTCCATACTAATACTTCTTGACCTCCCTGCTGCCTTTGACACCATTGATCATGCTCTCCTTCTTCAAACTCTTCAATCACTCGGACTCTGTGACACTGTCCTCCTATCTCTCCCAACGCTCATTCAGTTTCTCATTTTCTAATGATACCTCATCCATTAATTCTGTCTCTGTTGGAGTCCCCCAAGGCTCTGTCCTTGGTCCCCTTTTATTTTCACTCCACTTATTGCCTCCTTTGGATTCCACTACCACCTGTATGCTGATGACACCCAGCTATATCTCTCCTCCCCAGACCTCTCCCCTGCTGTCCTGCAACGTCACTGCTTGCCATCCCTCCATCTCTGACTGGATGTCCTCCCGTTTTCTAAAACTAAATCTCTCGAAAACTGAACTCCTTGTCTTTCATCCTCCTAATACTGATCCTCTTCTTTTGCTCTACATTCAAGTCAGTGGTATCCACATCAGTCCATCCTTGCAAGCGCGCTGTCTTGGTGTCATATTTGATTCTAGTCGCACCTTTGAGCCTCACATCCAGCATGTTACCAAATCATGCAGATTCCACCTTAAAAACATAGCCCGCATCTGCCCCTTGCTTACGCAAGATGGTACCAAAGAGCTTGTCCATGCTCTAGTAATTTCCTGCATTGATTATTGTAACCCTCTCCTAATTGGTCTTCCCAAAAACTGTATTGCCCCACTGCAGTCTATAATGAATACTGCCTCCAGACTGATTTTCCTCTCTAGTCGGTCCTCTCACACTTCACCCCTTTGTCAGTCCTTACATTGGCTTCCTGTATCCTATAGAAGTCAATTCAAAGTGCCAACCCATGCCCATAAAGCACTGAACAATTCTAGCCCCTCTTATATCTCTTCACAGATCCATAGGTATGTCCCTTCTCGGTCTTTCTGCTCTGCCAATGACTTTCTCCTGCCCGCTGCTTGCACCCGTACGGCCAACTCACACTTGCAGGACTTCTCGCGGGTGGCTCCCTTCCTATGGAATAGTCTGCCTACCGCCATCAGACTCTCCCCTAGTCTTCAATTGTTTAAGAAGTGCCTTATAACCGATCTATTTAGGAAAACTTATGGCCTCCCAAAGTAACCTGTCTCTTGCTCTCTCCTAAAGGACAGCACTGTACTCTATCCTCCAGCTCTGCTTCACTCCCACCTATTTTGATTGCTATTTCCTGTCCTATTGTGTTTTACACCCCACCTCCTATAGACTTTAAGCAGGGTCCTCTTCAACCTATCGTTCCTGTAAGTTTTCTTGTAACTGTACTATTTATAGCTAAATCCCCCCTCTTATAATAATGTAAAGCGCTACGGAATCTGTTGGCGCTATATAAATGGCAATATAATAATAATAGAAATGAAGTCTCATTCTCTCCGGTATATCAATAGCAATCTGTAATTTATATCTATAAAGCGAAAAGATTGGTCAGATGAGCTACTGACCTTTCACTCAAGCCTTTCACAGAAGAACCAGAGAACCTATCACTTTTCTTTTAAATAAATATTATTAACCTCTTTGGATGGTTCATCATCTATTGTGTTGAAATCTGGAATCAAAATGAAAGTAAAACACTATAGTGTTAGGAATGTAAAATTCCTCTGTCCCCTCCCCAACATTAAATTTAAATAATTCCTTGGAGCGGGTTCTGTTTCCGCCAATGTCAGCGCTGGGGGCGACCATAATGTACATTGGCAGCAAGTGCATCACGCGCATTAGACCTTACCCATGAAAGTATTGAATCAATGCTTTCCTATGCAGATTTTGAGGAAGCTGGATGTTCTTAAGCAATGAGTGAGGGCGTCCAGTGCCGTTTCATAGAGTCAAACTCCGGGAAACTCTGGTAAACAGCCACTAAAGGCAGTCTTAGCACTGCAATGTATTATTATTATTTAAAGAAGTGCCAACAAATTCCGTAGTGCTGTACAATAGGTGGACTAACAGACATGTATTTACAACAAGACAAGTTAAATACACAAGAACAGATGATGTTGAGGGTCCTGCTCAAATGAGCTTACATTCTGTAAGGAGTGGGGTAAAATGGCACAATAGCTAAGGGTAGGATGTATTTCATGTACAGTAAGTAGTAGGTTACTAGAATAGTTTACAATGAAGTATTAGTTTACTGGATAACAGGAGAGGAAGCAGGGTGGGTTAACAAGGTGTGGGGTGGAAAGGTTATTCAGAGTTTAATTAATACTTTCCTAAAAAGTTAAGTTTTTAAGGGTCACGGTCTGCATCTTGTGTGGGAGCCCTGCCAGTACTTCTTGAACAAGAGGTGGCTGCGCTTCTGCTTTCCTCTTGCCCCACCACTTGCCCGCTTGATCCTGTCCCATCTCACCTTATCAGATCTCTATCACCTTGTATTGGTCCATTCAATGAGGGTTGCATTAATTTTGTGGTCACACGTTACTCGGACCAATCAGAAGCCACGGGTTCTATATAAAGCCCTTGTCAACTCTCCACACTGCCCTGTCATGGTTTTAGTAGCCCGAGAGTGCTTGACTTGGCTTTGTTTAAATGTTTAATTTTGATATCCCTGACCTTTGGCTCGGTTACTCTCGTTTATCCGTCTGTCTCCCGTCCTGACCTAGGGCTGTATATGACTACTCTATATCTCATACCTTCTATATACATTAAGCCCGGCCACTCTAAGGTCGGGTAATGCGTCTTTTCTGTGTATAGGATTCTACGTGTCCTGTTAGGGTGTCTTTCCTTGACAGGAGGTTAATATATATTCCCTTGATAGGCTGTTGTGTTTTTGGTTTCTTTTCTTTTCCCCCCCAGAAACATAGATTATACTTATTAGTTTTAACAAAGCAACAACAAATATATATAAACACTAACTAACATTTTTATATATGTTATCTAAAACGGCTGAATGTTGTTGATGCAGGCTCTGCTAGATGAAAAAAATTATACCTTTACAAAATATCTATGAATTCTGTAGCTGAATGTCTACACATATAATAACAAGTACATGAAGCTGTCAGTGGCCATTCTTCATAGGTTACAAACTAGAGTTTATTTATTTATTTATTTTTTTAAAAGCTCATTCTTTTGTCTCTCTTGCATGTACGTGCTACCATGTTTAACCTCTTTGTTTCATTCTCGCACGTGGGTTACAGAGCCTCAAGGTAGTGCACAGGTTAAACAAGCAGCTACCTATTAGGTACTGGTAGAGATTGCCTTATATCCAAAATTCTTCATGTAATCAGATGACAAGAGCTAGTTTGTTCCACATAAGTGGTTCTGATATAGAAATAAATCAGGGTATTGAAGAGCTAATAGAAATGTTTATTTTTGGTTCAGGTCTCTGGGCATGAAATTAGATTAAGCTGTAGATTGATTTCTGATTTCTCTTCCTGGGGTTAAACACGTTAGACGGAGACGAAGAAAAAACATGTGTAATTATGGAATTTTGTATCAGGTGCTCCAAAGGTGATGGAATGTGGGTTTCATGGTAAGATTTGCAATTGAGCAATTATTTTTACAGAGGCAAAGGGGCAGACATTGTAACTGAAGGCTGGTGCATAGTGTTACACAGGTCATGGTGACAAGCACCAACTATGACCCCACTTAAAGTCATATAAGTATGGTTTGCAGTGGGTTAAAGCTGGCACAGTCATCAAAGTCATCTTCATTGTGTATGTTGCAGAAATCCAGCTTTGATGCTTCAACACCTGCGCATAGCCCGGGGTAATTCAACACAATGTTTATTTATTCATATACTCAATGGCTGTGTTCTCTGCGGTAAGCGGAGTAATGGCCCTCTCTATCTAGCAAACACCGAATACACAGGTAGTATAATCACTGACCTGATACATCCCTTTGTTTATTTCTCACTTCTGGAGCCATTACTGAATAACAATAATATCCCCAGGCTGGGCATTAAAGGAGATTGTTCTTTAGATGCTGAAGGAACTGCATTTCAACCATCTTTGCTCTCCTAGATAAAACTGCTTCCATGTACACTGACATCGCTCTAAAATTCAACCTCCTGCTGCGTTAGGGTTAAATAAGCATTTCATTTGCCTCATCAAACCTAAGTGAGATTGTCACTACAGAAAAAAAAATATCCAAAGTACTTTCACATGGGAAATCTAATGTCTATAATAGGGAAGCCCTGTCTGCATCATGGAAGAGGTTGCAAATCTTAACTGTAAAATAACATTGTGATGTAAAGTTTTGTTGGTATTTTTCTAGTGTCTCCTCTTGCTGTTTATCAGAATTTCAGTGTATATTATTGGTTCCCCAAAGTCTGTTCCTTAAAGGACCAGTCTTCACATCATAACCACTACAACATAGTGTTAGAATGCCACTATTCCAAAGTAAGTCATTTTCTAATTGACACTTACAGGGGCCCTCCTTCATTTCTGATATTGCTAATGTGGAACTGTGGTGACATTTCTGTTAACCCTTTCCTATGTATTGGGGCACATAGATTAGCATAATGCCTCAATTCACATACCCGTGTTTCTCCGAAAATAAGACCGGGTCTTATATTAATTTATTTATTTACGGTACCGGTATGTACATTGAACAACATTTAAACAACATTTAAACAACTTTTCTCCACCCCGTTTAATTAATTTTTAATTAATCCACCCCCCTTTAATTAATCCACCCCCCCTCTAATTAACCCACCCCCTCTAATTAATCCACCCCCCCTTTAATTAATTCACACCCACCCCCCCCCCTTTAATTAATTCAGTCCCAGACATAAAATATCTACTCACATTTCAAAGATTCCTTGCCTGCCGAGTCCGACCACTGGGTGCCTCACCGCCCGGAAATGGATCCTTCCGCTGAAGATCCGTGAAGGAAGACTGACGGCGCTGCGAAAGGTCGTCATCACGTTGCGCAATGCCGCAGCCCGCAACGCTCCTCCCCCTCCTCCTCATACGGTAGAAGAAGGAAGTCTCGCCGGGCCGCAAAGGTGCAATGCCTAGGTCTTATTTTCGGGGTAGGGCTTATATTGCAGCCCACCCCGATAATCCGGCTAGGGCTTATTTTCGGGGTAGGGTGTATTTTCGGGGAAACAGGGTATAAATAGTCAATGCACAGACAAACAAGGAAGTTGAGGCTAACTCACACAAATGTTTGAAGCATTAGATTGAAAGTGTTGACTTCACTCCTATGCTTGCTCATCCAGATTCTACAAAGTCTCTTGTCTTCAAGGTTGATGCCCATGAACTATTGGTGGAATTCTTTTTCAGTGAACTTTCTTGAAAGCATCTCTCAATTGATGCTGAGTCTGCATGGATTGCAAGTTAACCAATTGTTGAATGTATACTTTATGTTAACTGTGACTCTGTACATGACATATTTCTGCTTTAAAAGAGGGTCCCACCCCTTGGAATAAGCCTATTCCTCAGGTTTTTCATTAACCAGATACCTGTCTGTCTCTGGTGTGAATTACTTATAGGGAGCGTGCCCGCAATTCAAAATTTGGAAGGACGAGATAGACAAATTAATCAAATATTTGTATTTGATCCAAAACATGTGTAGTACAAGAAGTTGTCCTTATTGACTTGTGTTATGCTACATAATTATGGGGGATTTAAATGGATGGCATAGGATGTGCTTGCCACACATTTTATGCATTAAGGAAAAAAAATTTAAGTATGTCATAATAAAAAATAAATACAATCAAGAAGATGCCCACATACTGTTTTCCTGCTGCAGTAATGTCTTCTTCACTCTTCAATAAAAAATGGCTATAGTTTATCTACTCCTCATCCTCACTTAGCCTTCCATTGGAGAACTATATTATTCCCATGAAACCATGCAAAGCAAGTATGCAAATACACATGTGCAATTTGAGCTACAGTAGCTTTTTTGTGTGATTGGACCAGATGAGCTAGCCTTAGCACCCCACATGCATCAATGTGCTTTGGGCACCCATGGCCATGATGCTGGTTCCTTCCTTGCACCGTTTTTGGTAGGTACTCACAACTGCACACCAGGAACACCCCTCAAGACTTGCCATTTTGAGATGCTCTGATCCAGTCACCTTGCCATCACTATTTGGCTCTTTTCAAAGTCACTCAAATGTTTTCACTTTCCCATTTTTCCTGCTTCCAACACACGAAATGAAAATAACTGACAGTTCACTTGCTTCCTAATATATCCCACCCTTTGACAGATGCCATTGTAACTATATAATCAATGTTATTCACTTCACCTGTAAGTAGTTTCAATGTTGTGGCTGATCAGTGAATACTTACCTGTGACGAGACCAATCTCGCCACATTGCATTGGAGAAGCCTATTTGCCAGCCTCCTTCCACATGACTATGGCCCCTGGGAGATGGTGAAAACGTATGCACTTTTATTGGGTGTGTATGGCCCTTTAAGACAGTCAGTGGGCATATTGTGGCTTATGGACTCTTTATGGGACTGGTGCTGGCCCTTTAAACACCTTTTTGGGACATCAGGAAGATTGGGACACTGCCCCTTTAAGACGGTGTCCCCAGACTTGTTTGGGACACTGCCCCTTTAGGACGGTGTCCCCTGTGTCCCCAGACCTGGTTAAAACTCTTTGTTCCGGGCTATTTCCCACTTGGTTCAGTAAATGGGGCTTACTGAACCAAGTACCACACAGGCAGACCACCCAGAAGTGGAAGTGTGCAGGCAATTTACCTCTCAGAAGCTGCGGTTAACTGCAGCTTAATTGACAATGCTGGGTGGCCTTTGTTCGTTTGCCGAACACGTGGCGGCGGCCAACTTTGTTAATGCGAACAAGGTCAGCGGTATGTGTAGCCAAATTCATGGAACTAAAATCGGCTACACATTTCCGCGAACACCGCTGAGCTCTACCTTCTCCCCTACTGATTTTACAGCTGCAGAGACTAAGTCCCATTCGGCGATGGGACTTAGTCGTTTTTTCAGCCTGAAATAGACCGGCCGCACAGCCCAAATCTATGGAACTGTTTTGGGCATGAAAATGTGCTTGCAGTCGGTCATAAAGGGACCTCCAGCTAACTTTTTAACCCCTGGATGGATTTGGATGATTTTTGGTTATGTTTATGTTTAAAGTGTGCTGATTCCAAATATGAAGATTGGATGTGTAATTTTAAAGTTATAGTACATGTATAAAAACTGTATTTTTCCTGCTTGTGATAATTATGTTAAGCATTGTGTGCCATAATTAGATCACAGGCAGAGGGGAGGATTTTTGTGTGTAATTGCTGGGAGTGTTTCTGTAATGTACGTTTATGATTGGTTGTTGTGTAAAACCCTGTGGGCGGTACTAATGTGTATATAAGGACAATAAACCCACAGCTCTGACTGTTCACTGCTTGACCCTCAACACAGAGCTTTGTCCCGTTCTTGGGGGATTTATTGTGTGCTGTTCCAGTTTGACTGCTAGGAGTGTAAACCTATTCGTATGGTTTTTCCTATTCGGCTTTTTACGGCATTCATATGGTTTCCTGTTCGGCGGATTGGTGTTCTGCAGTAGCTGTGCCTGTGTCTCTGGAAGGGAAGATCTACTAAACGGCGGTTTAACCCTTTTATGCTGAGGGGTCCGTTACATTACCTTAATCTGTCCACTGTAGAAGATGCCATCATTTGTCTTCAGTTCCTTAGTGCTGTGCATAGCACACCGAATAATGCAAAAAGTATACTTTATTCACATGATCTATAGTAAAAAGTCCAGGAATAAGGTTCATACAAGTAAAGTGCATAACAATAACATATAACACAACAAAACCAAATTTACATATATGTACAAATGTGCATATATATATATATATATATATATATCTATACCCAGTAATGCAAAATCACGTATATTGACCATAGATGGTTCTTTCAGGTCTCCACTAAAGGGTGTTTATATATAAACACCCAGTTAGTCACTTTATGTATGTTTGATATTGGTGTGGTATCGTTTACTATTATGCACTTTACTTATATGCACCTTATGCCTGATGCACGTTTTACTATAAAATTATGTGAATAAAGTTTGCTGTTTGCATTATTTGGTGCGCTATGTTTTTTTTATTTTATGGTACTGATGGACCTGGTATGGTAACAGGTTATTTTCCTATGTAGCACCCTTACCTGATGATGTGCATGCTAACCTGCTATACCCATACAGTTGAGTGCTGCTATATTTGTTCATATGTATGTTAATCTACAAGAAGAAGTCTGATTTCCATAGCCATTGCTAGCGATGACTGGGTGAATTGACAAAACTTGACAGTAAATGCTGTGGCTTTTGTCAAGACTTGCCAGGCTTTACCATAAGACATAGCACACCCTACTTTGTCTTTGGACTGTGTTGGAATTTCTACTTTAATGTTTGTTGCATGCTCCTATTGCTTTTTATACTCTTTTTACAACTATGTGTATGTTTGAATCATTGGCGGATCCAGGGGGGGGGGCAACGGGGCAATTGCCCCCCCCCCCGAGAAATCCGCCGGTCTCCCTCCCCTGCCTGCCGTGCAATGTGCCTGCGGACCGGGGAGGAAGATCAGAGATCTCCCTCCCCGGTCCGCAGGCACCGTGCTGACAGCCGGCGGCGGAGGGAGGGAGTGAGAGGGAGGACCCGGAGCTCAGTCTGCAGCTCCTCCGGGTCCTCCTCGCTCGAGATTTGGAGCGTTGCCGTGGTTACCACGGCAACGCTCCAAATCTCGCGAGAGTGAACTCTAGCCCGGGAGCGCGGGCTAGAGTTCACTCTCACCACCTGACCACCAGGGAATCACCACTGGGACCACCAGGGATCGAAATATGTCCCCCCTCCTCCCCAGTAAAGGTAAGAAGGGAGGGGGGACATAGGATATTTATTTTATTAAATAAAATAAAATAAAAATATTATTTAAAAGCCTCCTTCCCCCCCATACCACACACTGCCCCCCCATACACACACTGCCCCCATTACACACACTGCCCCCCATACCACACACTGCCCCCCCATTACACACATGCCCCACTACACACCTGCCCCATTACACACATTACACACCTGCCCCCATACACACACTGCCCACAAACAATACACACACTGCCCCACATCACACACTGCCCCACAAACACTGTCCCCATACACACACTGCCCCACAAACACTGTCCCCATATACACACTGACCCCCATACACACACACTGCCCCATACACACACTGTCCCCATACACACACTGACCCCCATACACACACTGCCCCACAAACACTGTCCCCATACGTACATTGCCCCCCATACACACACTGCCCCACTCAACACAAACACTGTCCCCACACACACACACTGTCCCCCATACACACACTGTCCCCATACACTCACTGCCCCACAAACACTATCCCCATACACACACTGCCCCCCATACACACACTGCCCCACAAACACTGTCCCAATACACACACTGCCCCCATACGCACACACTGCCCCACAAACACTGTCCCCATACACACACTGCCCCACAAACACTGTCCCTGACATACACCAAGAAACAAAAAAGATTTCAGACTTAATGGGTGTTACCACCCCTTAGGTCTTCTATCTTTAAGAGTGCAGCGCTGTATAATATGTGAAAACACAGTGAATTACCTGTGATTCTAAGACAATTATCCTTGATATTCTCCAATGTAATATACATACAAAAGAAAACAAAAATATATACAGATAATTGTGCAGTATATCTAATACTTGGTAAAGAGTTTAGTGAGTAACAGATATATACACTCACATTTTTTTTTTAGAGCCTTTTCAAGTGAATTAGGCTCTAAACTTCCGTGCGTCTGTGTCTTTAAGGGTAGATCACACGACCCCTCTCTCCAGGTTAAGTGTGTATTTTCCTCTCCCCAACGTATATAAAAGACACAGAATTATCCAACTAAGTGTAGCATCCTATGTAAAATTTTCATACACTTAAATAATAAGTTAAAGTGCTCACCTTCTTTAGAGCCTTTTGGTAACTGGCTCTAAGTATATAGGCCTAGTGTCAATTTGTGGGGTGACACTGCCCCTTCTCTGGAATCACTGGTACTGGATACAGTGGATAGTTTAAAATGAAGAAAATTTATTACAGAGTATATAGAATCAATATAAAAATTTCTAGAAAATAAAAAATAATAAATAATAAATAAGAACAAAGTATTGCAAGTATTTAGTGGTTTAGGAAAAATGATGAGTCCACTTTAAAAGCCAACTAATGTGTTCATTTATTCGTGTTTGTAGGGGGCGTTTCGTTCTACCTACATAGAATAAATTGCAAGAACACTTTAAAACGTATATAACCCTCTTGGAAAAACATGTGATCATTTGGCGTATCTTGTATTTCTTCTCCCCTTTTGGGTCAAAGAATTCTGTAATGTGCCTTTTTGTACTTTTTGTGCTTCTACAAGCTAGACACTGTCCACAACCAAAAAAACCTTCTTTCTGAAAGAAGGGGGTGGGTGTATTTTCTTTAATATGATTATGTGTCAATTTTTGTTTTAGGTTAGGAGCTCCTCTATATACTAATTTCGGTCTCTCTGGTAATATAGAGTGTAGCATAGGGTCGTTCCTTAGCATGGGCCAATGTTTATTTATTATTTGTTTAATTTTATGGCTTTCTTGATTAAAATTACAAATAAATGGCAAATTCATGTTCGTATTGATGCTCTTTGGTTTATATTTTAGCAATGAGGTTCTTTCCATGGTTTTAACTTCTTCAATAGTATTTATGAGAGAGGTTTCTTCATACCCTTTTTCCATGAAATCTTGTTTAATTTTAATAGCCTGTATCTCAAAAGTGCTTTGATCAGTGCAGTTTCTACGAACTCTCATAAGTTGTGCTTTAGGTATATTTTTTAACCAAGGAGAAAAATGGCAACTGTTTAGGTAGATGTAATTATTTACATCTACCGGTTTAAAAAAAGTTTTGGTCTTAATGCTGTTGTCTTCTATAAAAATAGTTAAGTCTAAAAAATTGACACTTTCTTTGCTGTATTCTGTGGTTAATGTCACTCCCCAATCATTCGTGTTTAGAGAGGTTAAAAATGTATTTAAAAGATCCACTGAACCGTTCCAGATTAAAAAAATATCGTCTATGTACCGCTTATAGGAGACAAGGCTCGCTCCCCACTCTAAATTATTGTCTATAAATTGTGTTTCCCAGTAGGCCATGAATAGATTTGCGTAGCTCGGAGCGAACCTTGTCCCCATAGCGGTACCGACTTTCTGTAGGAAGAATTCATTGTTGAACCAAAAATAATTATTATGAAGGATAAGATCTATTCCTTCCATAATAAAACTTATTTGTTCTTCTGGATAAGTGTTATCCTGTTTAAGAAAAAATTCTACTGCTTCTAGCCCTTTCGTGTGTGAAATAATGGTGTAGAGGGAACCAACATCAGCCGTTACTAGTATATAGTTGGATTCCCATTTAATATGCTGTAGTGTTTGTATAACGTTTAATGTATCTTTTAGATAATTTGGAGTTTTTTGAACCAGAGGTTGTAGACATTTGTCTAGGTATTCCGATAGCCTGCTGGATACAGAATCTATCCCTGAGACTATCGGTCTACCTGGAGGGTTGGTTAAATGTTTATGAATTTTAGGAAGGTGATAGAAAACTGGGATTTTTGGTTTAGCAATGTTGATATACTTATATTCCTTTTCGTTTAGTATTTCTATTTCTTTTCCTTTGCTCAATAGATTGTCAAACTTATTTTTGATACTGATTGTTGGATCTCCGTTTAATTTCTGATATGTCACGGTGTCTTCTACCAATCTAAGTCCTTCTCTGAGGTAATCCTCCGTTTTCATAATGACAATCCCTCCACCTTTATCCGCTGGTTTTATAACCTTATTTTTATCTTTCTGTAATGCTTTCAAGGCTAGCCATTCTTCTTTACTTAGGTTCATATATTTCTTATTTTTGGGTTTTATTTTGTTTATATCCTGCATTACTGATTTTTCGAAGGTGGTCATTTCTTTAGATATGAAATTATTCGGGAAAAAAGTGGATTTTGCTTTCAAATCCGTGTGTATATATTTAGAGTTACTGGTTGGATTAATTGATTTGTCTGTTCTCATAAAACACTTTTTTAGGCATAATTGTCTTTTATATCTATTAAGGTCTATAAATATGTCAAACTTATTTAGTGGTTGTGTAGGTGCAAATTTTAGTCCTTTGTTGAGGATTTTTTGTTGTGCCTTTGGTATAGGCACAACAAAAAATCCTCAACAAAGGACTAAAATTTGTACCTACACAACCACTAAATAAGTTTGACATATTTATAGACCTTAATAGATATAAAAGACAATTATGCCTAAAAAAGTGTTTTATGAGAACAGACAAATCAATTAATCCAACCAGTAACTCTAAATATATACACACGGATTTGAAAGCAAAATCCACTTTTTTCCCGAATAATTTCATATCTAAAGAAATGACCACCTTCGAAAAATCAGTAATGCAGGATATAAACAAAATAAAACCCAAAAATAAGAAATATATGAACCTAAGTAAAGAAGAATGGCTAGCCTTGAAAGCATTACAGAAAGATAAAAATAAGGTTATAAAACCAGCGGATAAAGGTGGAGGGATTGTCATTATGAAAACGGAGGATTACCTCAGAGAAGGACTTAGATTGGTAGAAGACACCGTGACATATCAGAAATTAAACGGAGATCCAACAATCAGTATCAAAAATAAGTTTGACAATCTATTGAGCAAAGGAAAAGAAATAGAAATACTAAACGAAAAGGAATATAAGTATATCAACATTGCTAAACCAAAAATCCCAGTTTTCTATCACCTTCCTAAAATTCATAAACATTTAACCAACCCTCCAGGTAGACCGATAGTCTCAGGGATAGATTCTGTATCCAGCAGGCTATCGGAATACCTAGACAAATGTCTACAACCTCTGGTTCAAAAAACTCCAAATTATCTAAAAGATACATTAAACGTTATACAAACACTACAGCATATTAAATGGGAATCCAACTATATACTAGTAACGGCTGATGTTGGTTCCCTCTACACCATTATTTCACACACGAAAGGGCTAGAAGCAGTAGAATTTTTTCTTAAACAGGATAACACTTATCCAGAAGAACAAATAAGTTTTATTATGGAAGGAATAGATCTTATCCTTCATAATAATTATTTTTGGTTCAACAATGAATTCTTCCTACAGAAAGTCGGTACCGCTATGGGGACAAGGTTCGCTCCGAGCTACGCAAATCTATTCATGGCCTACTGGGAAACACAATTTATAGACAATAATTTAGAGTGGGGAGCGAGCCTTGTCTCCTATAAGCGGTACATAGACGATATTTTTTTAATCTGGAACGGTTCAGTGGATCTTTTAAATACATTTTTAACCTCTCTAAACACGAATGATTGGGGAGTGACATTAACCACAGAATACAGCAAAGAAAGTGTCAATTTTTTAGACTTAACTATTTTTATAGAAGACAACAGCATTAAGACCAAAACTTTTTTTAAACCGGTAGATGTAAATAATTACATCTACCTAAACAGTTGCCATTTTTCTCCTTGGTTAAAAAATATACCTAAAGCACAACTTATGAGAGTTCGTAGAAACTGCACTGATCAAAGCACTTTTGAGATACAGGCTATTAAAATTAAACAAGATTTCATGGAAAAAGGGTATGAAGAAACCTCTCTCATAAATACTATTGAAGAAGTTAAAACCATGGAAAGAACCTCATTGCTAAAATATAAACCAAAGAGCATCAATACGAACATGAATTTGCCATTTATTTGTAATTTTAATCAAGAAAGCCATAAAATTAAACAAATAATAAATAAACATTGGCCCATGCTAAGGAACGACCCTATGCTACACTCTATATTACCAGAGAGACCGAAATTAGTATATAGAGGAGCTCCTAACCTAAAACAAAAATTGACACATAATCATATTAAAGAAAATACACCCACCCCCTTCTTTCAGAAAGAAGGTTTTTTTGGTTGTGGACAGTGTCTAGCTTGTAGAAGCACAAAAAGTACAAAAAGGCACATTACAGAATTCTTTGACCCAAAAGGGGAGAAGAAATACAAGATACGCCAAATGATCACATGTTTTTCCAAGAGGGTTATATACGTTTTAAAGTGTTCTTGCAATTTATTCTATGTAGGTAGAACGAAACGCCCCCTACAAACACGAATAAATGAACACATTAGTTGGCTTTTAAAGTGGACTCATCATTTTTCCTAAACCACTAAATACTTGCAATACTTTGTTCTTATTTATTATTTATTATTTTTTATCTTCTAGAAATTTTTATATTGATTCTATATACTCTGTAATAAATTTTCTTCATTTTAAACTATCCACTGTATCCAGTACCAGTGATTCCAGAGAAGGGGCAGTGTCACCCCACAAATTGACACTAGGCCTATATACTTAGAGCCAGTTACCAAAAGGCTCTAAAGAAGGTGAGCACTTTAACTTATTATTTAAGTGTATGAAAATTTTACATAGGATGCTACACTTAGTTGGATAATTCTGTGTCTTTTATATACGTTGGGGAGAGGAAAATACACACTTAACCTGGAGAGAGGGGTCGTGTGATCTACCCTTAAAGACACAGACGCACGGAAGTTTAGAGCCTAATTCACTTGAAAAGGCTCTAAAAAATGTGAGTGTAGATATATCTGTTACTCACTAAACTCTTTACCAAAGTATTAGATATACTGCACAATTATCTGCATATATTTTTGTTTTCTTTTGTATGTATATTACATTGGAGAATATCAAGGATAATTGTCTTAGAATCACAGGTAATTCACTGTGTTTTCACATATTATACAGCGCTGCACTCTTAAAGATAGAAGACCTAAGGGGTGGTAACACCCATTAAGTCTGAAATCTTTTTTGTTTCTTGGTGTTTATCTTTGTATGGTGGGTTTTTAGGAGTACCCATAGAGTGTATACAGCAGCTAAACTACACTGTTCATATTTACCACTCAGCGCCACATATTCCACACCTATTGTTAATATATTTAAACTGTCCCTGACATACACTGCCGCACTCACACACTTCACCCTTAACACACACCACTGCTCCTATACCCTATATCCCAGCAGACCCCAGGTAAGTTGTCAAACTTTCTTAAACGGTATGACTACTTACTCTGGGGTGGAATCCTGGCACTACTGACACCATAACTACTACACTGAGCTGTAGTGGTTATTGTGCCTGGATTATTTATTTAAATAATCTACAAGTGCCCCTCCCGAGATCAGGCTCTGGATCCGCCACTGGTTTGAATTGAGGATGATGTTTTCTGTAGTTTTTAAATGTATTTTTCTTTATAGTTCACTGGAGATAATAAATTTAAAGGAATACTATAGGGTCAGGAATACAAACATGTATTCCTGAACCTGTAGTGTTAAAAAGGGTTAAAACTGACATTCATTCCAGCGCTATGCGGCTCTCCTTGCGGCTTGTTCTGCGGACGCTCCACCCCTTTGACTGACATCATCAGAATTGGGAAGCCAATGCGCACATGCGGTGATGAAGTCAGCCAAAGGGGTGGAGCACCAGCAGAACAAGCTGCATGGAATCAATGCATCTCTATGGGGAGAGTTCAGCCCTTCCATGCAGAGCATGGAGATACTGAACGTCAGTACTGCACATTGTGCAGTACTGACCTAGGAAGCATCTCTACTGGTCATCAGAGTTATTGCCTCTGGAGGTGTCCCTATGTAGCAATGAAAACACTGCCTTTTCTCTGAAAAGGCAGTGTTTACTTTAAAATACCTGCAGGGACATGCTATACACAGAAGAACAACTACATTAAGCTGTAGTTGTTCTGATGACTATAGTGTCCCTTTAAGACTTACCTTATACAGTCTGCCATTAGAAGAGGCTAACAGCTTTCTGTTCAGCACTAAGATGTAAATGACCTTTGACAAGACCAACCCTTCTCCAGGAGAAGGTACAAAACGCAAAATGCAGACAACGTAAGATAGGTAAAGACATGTGACTTCTTGGCAAAATGTTCCCTGAACCTTTATTAAACAAAACTGACATCTGGCTTCTCCAGCTCTGAGAAGCATTGAAGCAATGTGAAATCCAGGTGTGACTAGGTAAGTGTCAAACCATGTAATGGCGTCTTGGACCTTCTGTCACCATAACTACTACAGGAGGCTGTAATGTTTATGAAACTTTGAGTTTTTCTTTAAGGAATAAATGATGTAGTCATGTTTAAAATAAGTCAATTTTCTTAAACATGTACAGCTATGGACTAAATCAAGTCATATTAATAAATCCAAGAAACTGCACAAGCACTCAAATCATTTCTTTTTCCGATAAAACATTTTACACATAAGTCAATATTACATATGGAGAATGCAGTTAGGTATATCAACCATATTTTTTCACACAGAATTATTTATGATAGATCAATTAACCAACGCATGTAGGAAAATTAAGAGTTCTACTTCCATAAAATATGTATAGATATATTTTTACTGCACTTGAAAAAAGGCATGCCACTAGAACTGCATTATGCAGAGTGTTTTATTATCCTTCTTTAATAATACAAACAAAATTATGTTTATTTTAAAGCTGTAGTAGTTATGGTGCCAGGAGTGTCTTGGTGCCGCAACAGTGTAAGAAATCAAACAGTATTAGACCAGTTTGGCTTCTTAACCGGAGTATGTTGGGTACTGGTCCCCACTTGGGACACTGCCACTGAAACGGGAGTCTTGGCAAATTGCTATACTATAATTTTATATAAATATAAACTTACTCCTGCTAGATTATGTGTAAACATCTATCCAACTCTGCTTTAGGATGTACTCAAACAGATATTTATTGATTTAAATATACTGTCTTGGTCTGTTATTAAACAAATGTAACTAGCTTAAAAGACATCCATGCTTTGCGAAATGCATAGGAATGCAACCCAACTGTACGCATCTGTCACTATTACATAGTTACATAGGCTGAGAAAAGACTTGCGTCCATCAATTTCAGCCTCATTTCTGTTTCTGCTGTATCCAAAAAAATGCAAAAACTAGGTTTGAGGGTCTTTCCACTTTTAAAACAGACAGAAAAATCCTTTTTGACTCCAGAGTGGCAGTCAGATCTCTCCATGGATCAGTCAGCTGTTACCCCACATATTCAAAATTATAAACGCAACACTTTTGTGTTTGCGCCCATTTTTCATGAGCTAAACTCAAAGATCTAAGACTTTTTCTATGTACACAAACGAC